TTACTATTTAAGAATAACATTTTTCATTTTTATAGTTTGTAATGTTGAATGGCTCAAATTAAATTATTCCTTATAAATGTTTACAAAAAAATTTCGAAAATATTTATTAACAACGAAAAATTGTGAATATCAAAATGCGTGGACTTTTTGGTTATCACGTTATGATAATTTCGAAGTACCTCGAGACTATTAAAGACTTTATTAACTTGGAGTTGGTGTGCAAGAAATTTAGAGAAAATATGGAGAAGTTTCACTTCAACCCAATTCCGTTAAATATCAAAACACTTGGATACTTCCCAAATATCGAGACACTTCATTTGTGGGATGTAAAAGATGAGACCTTTGGCAATGGATTTATGACAAACACAGAAGAAAAAGTAGATAATGAAAACAAAACTGTTTTGAATAGAAAGTTTTTTCGAATCATTGTGTGGTTCAATGTTAACTTCGAAACTGTTGACAGAAACAAAAATCGAAACATCGAGTTTAAAAATGTTACTTACACTGAAAATGATAGAAAGAAATTTGGTAATATCATACCATCTAGTGTGAAATCAATTGGTAATTTTTGTTTCGGCCATTGCAATAAATTGAGCAGTATTATAATACCATTAAGTGTGACATCAATTGGTGGTTATTGTTTCAGTTGGTGTAGTAGTCTGACCAGTGTTACAATACCATCAAGTGTGACATTGATTGGTCATAGTTGTTTCTATAAATGCAGTAGTTTGAGGAGTGTTACAATACCATCAAGTGTTACATCAATTGGTTATGATTGTTTCTGTGAATGCACTAGTTTAAGCAGTGTTACAATACCACTTAGTGTGACATCAATTAGTGGTTGTTGTTTCCCATCAAACACAATAATTCATCGAAGCGAATGAGATAATTGAATGTTATTTCATTTTTTATATTTATTTTTTATTAAAAATTTATTAATTATAAAAAGTTGAAAAAATCAATAAATTATTTAGCGAAATTGATTTTATTAATTTCGTTAATAATTATCGCATGGTATACATGGAGGCTCCTAAAGCCGGCCCCCCTACCCACCTCCTGGGAACAGAGATTACTTAAATGAAAGATTGTGTTAAATGGTGAGTATATACCATGTCATTATAAAATAATTATTAATTTAACCTTAGCAAGTCAATTGAATCAACTTTTTGTGGGAAGGTGAAATCTGGATAAGATTTATCTAGATCATAATTTATTTTTAGAATAATTAAAAACAAATTCAAAACACAAAATCGATTTATTTTCGCGCAAACTACTGGTTTTTACAGACCGATGTTTACTATTTTCCATTTGTCCAAAATGGTCAATACTTACTGTTACGTGATATACACATAAATTTTCATGAGAGCGCTTCGATTTTTATCAATTTTTCTTGATTTAAATTGGTTTGTGACACGCCGTTCTTAATTAAAGATCTTTTTAGTTCATATACAAAAATAAAAAAAGTGACTTTTTTAGTAAAATAATCAAGGATATAAATTATCCAGTTTTCACTTCATAAAATTAAAATTTAAAAACTTACAGTTGATCAAATAATTATTTGAGATCAAATAATTGTAAGAAGGATGTATTTCCCGTTAATTACATTGGAAATGACTAATAAAAAGTGAAAAAAGGGTACATTTAATAATGCTTGAAACTTATTTCTATTTAAAAAATAGTTATTGATTAATATTTTAAAACAATTTATTTTACTTCTTACAATTATATATTCTCTGACTATTATTTGGTTAACTGTATTGCTAATTTTCTTGACAAATACTTTAACAACGCAGTGTATTTTTGTTATTTTTAAAGAAAAGCGTGTTTTTTCAATAAAATCATTTTTGTGTTACGTTAATAATAATAATAGAGTTAATATTTCTAAATATTTAAAGAAAACCACCAAATTTGTTAATAATGACATTTTTATTATAGTTTGAATAACAAACAAAAGAAATTAAATATGTTTAATTAATCAAACTAGATTATAGTATAAATACATTAATTGTTTTTGTTATTTATAAATATCTATAAATTTAATTTATTTTATTATATTTTTAGTTTT